AAACGGTAAACTACCTCAACTCTCTCATTCAAGAGCTCGAGAAGACAAAGATTGAACTAAAGCAACTGAAAGCTAGACAAAGAGAAATGACTATGGACTTGGAGATTGAGAAAATCAAGTTTGTAGAGAATTCAATGCCTATTCTCAACCAAGTTTCAGAATTTCAGAGCAAGAAATATGCCAAGTTCAACAATCCACCATCTTCAGGGCGGTTCTTAAGCTCTGAACATCTCCTTTCAGATAGGCAAGTACCGGAAATAAGAAAGAAGAATAAAAACAAGAGGGCATTGCTTCCTATGATAGCTTCTATGTTTTCTAATAAGAAAGGTTGCAGATATTAAGGGTCAATGACAAGCTCACTAAGTGTAAGGATCAGCTCAGAGATTTGAATAATTCTTGTGTCTGAAGCAAGAAAAAATAATCATCTTTATGTTTTCATCTTATAATGTGTATCTAAGCTAAATTTTCTGTTTTTAAGAGAATGTAGTGTGCTTATTTCTTCATCTGTTGCTTTTGTAAAATGGTGGAAGTTGACGTTAAAATTAGTTTCTTGCAGGAAATTGTTTCAGAAGTTCCTAAATTGTTGAGTGCACAATCTGATTCTTGCTTTGTTCTAGTGGAAACTTAGATGCTAATTATATATATATTCTATGATGCTTAGCAAATGCTTGTCTCTCCCTTTATTGATCAAGGTATCAAAGATTCCTAACTTATTTAGTAAAGATGAATCACCCGGCTCAGAGCATTCGTTCTTCTTTGTAACTAAGAGTGTCAATATTTGACACGACCCAACAATTCGACACGAACCCAAGCCGAATATTCTGGTTTAGGGTCAACCTGATCACGAAATGGTTTGGGTTTGGGTTCAACAAATTGACCCGTTTTAAAAATCAGGTCGGGTTGACCCAGAAACCCGAAATTGACCGGTTTTTTCCGAAGCCCCATTCTAACCCGGAAATCCGATATTGACCCGTTTTGACCCAAAAATTGGAGATTGACCCATTTTTTACTCGAAAACTAGCAATCGGTAACGGGTCATTCAGATCGTGTCGAGTTGAACAGGACCCGAAGCGGGTCGGGTTCGGGTCTGAAAAACAGACCCGTTTGTAAAATGGGTCGGGTTATGGCTGACCCGAATAGTATTGGGTTAGTTTTGGATTCGACCCGAACCCGACCCGTGACCCGAAATTGATACCCTTGTATATTATCATAATAGTGCCCATACAATTACACATTAGATGTCTTTCTACTTATGACATAGATTGATCTCCCTTTCACAACATTTTTTATAAGGTCATTTATAAACTGCATGCTTTGAGGCTCAAACAAATCCGATCTCACATCATTCATCTTACATAATTAGAACAATTTATTAATAATAGGGACATTAATAAAAAAAAAACATTACTCTTATAGAATCCATAGGATCGATCAACTCCCTGCCCTCCAAAGTATTTCTATGCTAAAATTGATTTATAAAACTTTTGACTATATCAATTGAAGATATATACTGTCACGACCCGACCCGACCCGGGATGAATCCC